GAAGCGGTCAATGGAACCCACAGTGAAATAATTAGACCACATTATGAATAACCCTGGCTAATGACACCTAAAGAAAACCAGGAACTCCAAACTTCAAAGTTTAATTAAAGCCAAAATCAAATCGAAACTGGAAATTGTATCGGTGTGTTTAAGGAAAGCTTTGTGTGTACTTCAAAAGTTTTGAGGCATGTCCCAGAAAAAGTTGAGCGTTTTCTTATTGTTTGTCTTATTCTACCTAATGAATTGCTCGGAAGGGATCTCGAACCTCATATCCGAAGGAATAACATTCAGGTACCGAGGTACCGTCCATATAATGCTAAAGTTATGCAAGCAGGAGTCCAAGCAAGAAACAATTTGATTCGTCGTCATTTTATGCACTGATTTATTTTTAAAAATGCTATAATAGAGATTCTAATATGTGTTTCATTCGAGGTTTTATATTAATTAATTTTATTTTTCACCCAATACCCAATGCAAAGCTAGGTATTGATATTTTAGTTGTCACAAAAATTGTTTAAATAACATGATCCCATATCCTAAACTTTTCAATTTATCGGCAACAGTTTTTAATAGACATTTCGCTTTGGTTTTCACTGCATGCCATTAGATTTGTTTGGAAATGCTCCCTTTTCACTCTCATGACAATGACGATGATAATAATATTATTGATATAATCAGAAATCGGCGTCTGCTCGCAATAAACTAATGAAAATATTGAATATGTAATAGGAATGGAATAATTATTTCTCAATATAAATATGTAATATCAACAACAACAATTCCGCAATTGTCAGAGTCATTCATAAAACTTCATCATAATGCACATACGTCAGTAGTATTCGACACGTCTCGAGATGTAGAAATGAAAATTTAAAATAAATCGCGTTTTGTCGATATTCTTGATGCACAGAGTGTCAACCATGTAAAATCTTGTCGACTGATAGAGCTCTACATGACACAGAGTCCCGCTAAAGTTTCTAAATTTGAGCTATATCGTGGAAATAATGCACCCCAAATTTTTGTTTGTCGGTTGGAAAGCGATTTGAGACATCTTTATAATACCTATTGTAAAAATATTGAACCTATGAATCGTCTAACACCTGACGAAATTGAATTTTGGAAATGAAATAACATGCGATATTTACGAGCAACCCTTTAACGTAAATGATATTGAAGTAAGAGACCACTGTCATATAATGGCAAACAAAAGATTTGGTGCTGCTCATTCCATTTGTAATTTGAATTATAAATTACCCTATTTTATCCCTATTATATTTCACAATTGAGCGGGTATGACTGTCATTTTATTAAAGAACTGTGTCGTCATGGCGATAAAGTAATTGTTATAGCTCAGAGCAAGGAAAAATATATGTATTTCAAAAAATCGGTTCGTTAAAAAAAACAAATTAAGCTTTAAATTTTTATCAACATCTTTGGAAAATTTGGGTGATGGATTGAAAATCGATAGTATCAGGGAAACACGTAGACATTTTCCCAATAATAAGAAATTCAATTTAGTTCGCCAAAAGGGTTTTTTTCCCCTATAGTTTCTTTGATTTATTGGAAAAAATGAATTACCCAACTCTTCCAACAAAAGATAAGTATTTCGATACTTTACGTGAGGAGGATATCAGCGATGAATGTTACGAAAGAGCAAAGAAGGATTGGCGTTTGTTTCAGTGTAAGAACTTGGGTGAACATTCAAATGTGTATCTGATAGGACGTGACATTATTGAGTGATGTTTTCGAACAATTTCACGATACATGTCTGGATGTTTACAAACTGGATCCAGGACAATATTATACCCTTCTAAGTTTATCATTTGATTGTATGTTGCGTATGACTAAAATAAAATAAATGATTTAAATGTTATGGATGTTGATGATGATAATCTTAAAGGGTATGCTTTAGAAGTTGATGTGTGTCATCCAGAAGGTTTGCATTATGCTCATGCTGACCATTTTTTTTTAGTGGAAAGTATTGTTTCACCCACAGAATCGGCAAAAGTCAAAAAATTAATTCCTAACCTGAATGATAAACAAAAGTATATTGTACATTATAGAACTTTAAAACAAGCTATTTCGAACAGCCTAATAGCTATTCAAACTCAGAGTTTTGAAATTGAGCCAATCAAAGTGGTTGAAGACATAATATATTGATTTCTACACAGTATTACGCAATTCGTCAACGACAAAGGAGGCTTTATTTGAAATTGATGGGACTTTGCGTACACCCAAATGACATCATTTGCGATTGAAAATTTGTGCACGGCTTATTTAAAATGTTCAGCGAGCGACATGAATTTGCACCACTGGCAATGTTTGCGCATGGGGGTATACCAATCGCAAGTGAACTTAAGCACACGTAAGTAAATTTTGATAGTTTACATCAAATAAGTTCGAACATTGTGGTGATCGTTTTTTGTAGTACTTCGTTTTCTATATGTTCTGAGTTTTAAATTTCCTTTGATTTATTTTTATATGAATTTTATTAACGTTATTAACAACAATGTGCTGGCTTGTCTTGGACTAGCGGAGGCTTTCAACGAAAACCTTGCAGTAAGGACGGGATTCTATGCCTTTGTCCTAGATTAACGGGCTTTCGTAAAAAAAAATCGGCCAAACGTGGTGGCTGTTTCGACTAAACATTTTTCCGCTAAACGGTGCTCGAAATAGCACCTTGAGAAATCTGTGCCAGGTGGATTATCGAATGTAATACCACAAGAGGTTTCAGGATTACCGGATAATACTTTTACCTGTCACGAAACGCGTTACGCAGCAACACCACGACTCCGAAGGAGGAGTGTTGTTGCTGATAACGCGTTGAGTGTCAGGTAAAAGTATTAGGTAATCCTGAAATATCGAGTGGTATTCAAAAGATTATACAACGAACTAAACTTTAATACTTTAAAATTTGAAAATTTTTCTATAATAGAATTTAGAATTCCAAAAGCCTTATCACTTGTTAAGCCTCTCGTGTCATATGGGAATAATGTACAGTGAGTTGTATAACCGGGAAATAGATTTCCCTTGTCAACGATATTGAGAAAAGTGGGAATCTTACAAGTTCTTGGCCAAAAGAAACTGTCTGTGGTGGCCGCTCCAGCTAAACATTTTTGCGCTGGAGAATAGTCGTACATCCTTCCTGCAAAAGTTGAGCATGCTGCATGACCGGGAACTTTTCTACTCCATTTTTCAGTACAAATTTCTCTCTCCAACTCTGGTTGATATAGTTTAGATCTTCACAGGATCCGGAAGCTTGAATTTAGTTACTTGTCATTTGAAAAACAAAAAACTTAGTCGTGGTGGCTATCTCGACTAGACATTTTTCTACTGAACGGTGCTCGAAAAAGCACCTCGAGAAATCTGTGCCGGGTGGATGACTGGGAAATAGATTTCCCTTGACAACGATATTGAAAAAAGTGAGAATCTTACAAGTTTTTGGCCAAAAGAAACTACCTGTGATGGCCGCTTCAGCTTGAACATTTTTGCGCCGGAGAATACTCGTACAACCTCCCTGCAAAAGTTGAGCATGCTGCATGACCGGGAACTTTTCTTGTCCATTTTTCAGTACAAATTTTTCTCTCCAACTCTGGTTGATATAGTTTATATGTTCACAGGATCCGAAAGCTTGAATTTGGTCACTTGATTTTTTTGAATCAAAAAAATCTTTAAATCTGTCTACATTTATGTATAATTTTATAATTGATTCTAAACTGTTATACAATCTAAATGAAATCTAGATTAAATAAGGACTCATGATCTTATGACTGACGAAGCAATAAAAAATTGCGAAAACTTTCAATAGATAAAAGAGTCGTTTTTCTTTTTATCACTGGATTCATCTCCACGAATAATAACTCATATTCTCAAATTCAAATATATGCAACACTTGTCTTTAAGAAGCGAAGCTTCACCTCGAACGGCAAAAAGATTTAATGATAATTTCTTCAAATCTAAAGTGCAATCTATAAATTGGGACGAGTTCTATAGCGTAAATAACGCTAATGATTCAGCAAACACACTTTTAGATAAATTAAACTGTGTAATGATAGAATCCACGATAGAGCAAACAATACAAAAAACCTATACAAGGAAGAAAACCTTGGATCACAGCAGGTGGTATTAAATCTATGCAAATACGAGATAAATTATACCAACAACTTTTAAATAATCCTGAAAGAAGAGAAATAGAAAAAAGGTATTTATCTCATAGAAAGAGCTTAACAAAACTTATCAAAAAAATAAAAAACTTTTACTACAAACGAAAAATGTATTCTGTAAAATTTGTTACAAAAAACCTCTGGTCAGTGATAATAGTATATTACATACGGAGGTGGAAAGTGTTTCATTATTGTCGAAAGATACTATGGTTGACCGAGGTGCGAAGCGCCGAGGTCAACCACTTCTTGAGGCAATATGTGAAAACTTTTCACCGAAATATGTATACTATTTTATTTTGAACCATTATTTATTTAAAAAAATAAGTTAAAAATATCAAAAAGGAAATTTCGACTGACCCTCCTGACACCGACATTGACATCTTATGAAATTTTAACAATACAACCACATGTGACATCTACTTCTAAATACAAACATTGCACCTAGATTTGTGTTTATAGTGTATTTTGACATTGAAAACTTTGAAACCTAAACAATACCGCTTGGCCCTGATTGGTCGCAAAATGAGGTGTCCCTGCAGGTTGACATCAGTTTTACAATGCATGTCGTGCAAATGGCATCTTGCGACCAATAAGCGGCATTGTTTATGTTTCAAAGTTGACAATGTCAAAATCTATCTTGGGAAGAAATAAACTGTAGGTGTGTAAGAACAATTTATCAGGCCGAAAGTGAGTTCTCCAGGCCGAAAATGACAGGAGAACTCTCACTTTCGGCCTGTTTTAAAGTAAACAAATGTAAAGTGACATTTTCGAACCTTCAAACCAGTGAGAAATGTGGAAATTACATAGGTATATGGTTCAAAATAAAAACTGTTTTACCTGATAAATAATGTAAAATACAATTACAGCGGCATGGGTGAGGTACTCGTTGATAAAACAACTGCGGTTGACGAAAATGACAACTCTCCAAGGCTGGATAGCAACTTCTTTTTAATCCCAACAGATACCTCTGAAACAAAAAAAAAAATATGTTAATCAATAAAAAATTTAAAAAAGCACCAGGTAAAGATAATATAAGTGCCGAGCTTGCGAAAAACATATAACTTGTAATAATTGCTGCGCGATTAACATATATACGATAAAGGTGTTTGGTACATCGATAGGAAGATTTCAATGAGTAATAGTTGGGGTGATTTGGAAGCTGTTTCACCATATTTATCCTCATGCAAAGTTTCACCGTTTTCTGAGATATCGTCATTTTTAGATATTTTGAATCCATGTAGCTTACCACATTACTTGGGCTACAAATTTTCCAACATTTTCTTTTTCTTTCCGTATTTTTTCGAAAGAGTGCATATTATGAACGTTAAAGTGTTTACTATCAAAAGTTTTAGGAACAATTCAAATATCTCCCAAAAATATCTAATAATGCTGATATCTCAAAAACCACGAAACTTTGCATAAGGGTAAATGTGATCAAACAGCTCCCAAATGTCCTCAAATATCTTTCATGCAAAACTTCCTATCGATGTACCAAACACCCGGTATATAGCAACATTTTTTTAACCGGTATTTATCCAGGAAACATTAAAGAGGCAATTGCAACCCCAGTTTTTGAGAAAGGAGATGCCCATACTATTGAAAGCTACCGACCAATATCACTCATATCTGTATTCAGTAAAATCTTTGAAAAAATCTTGGAGTATCGTTTGGAATCTTACCTGAAAAATTATATCAAAAAATCAATAGAGGTTATGGACAGGAACAATTCACTAGTGATGCTATATCTAGGCTTACCGAAAAAATATACAACGCAGTAGACAACACAAAAGCATCCTTGTGCATTTTCCTAGACCTGGAAACAGCTTTTGAAGCAGTATCTCATGTAAATCTTTTAAGAGAATTAGAAATAAAAGGCTTCAGGGGGCTAAGTCAGACTTTGCTAAAAAGTTATCTAGACGATAGAAAAATGTATGTAAAAATCGGCTCTAGTTTGAGTTATTCTGGTACATCTGAATATGGAATCCCACAAGGGCCCATACTCTTTATTATATACATGAACAGTATACTTACTTCTAATGTTTCTGGAAGTATAGTTAGTTTTGCAGATGACACTGCAATCTTTTACCAAGCCAATTTACCAATGTATGTAAATATTGCAAATAAAGAGATAAAACGGCAAAACGGCTTGTTGTCTTCGAATGGTGAACATTCCTATGTGTTTAGATGGTGCGGGCTTTCTTGTCCAATGTTAGTGAAACGTTGAGAATTATTTTTCTATGGATGTTTCCATAATATGCTGCTGTGTGCTACCTTGAGCCTTGAGCGAACATATTTTCTCATGTTTATCTCCAAACCAAACATTTATTTATTTTTTTATTTATTTCTTTATGAGGCTATATTGATCTAACAAATTTTGGCCTAACTAACGATTCCACCCTCGATTTTACCTTATCTGTACCTGTGTAACGATTAATTTTCACAATTTTATCTCGACTGAATTTTGTTTATTTTCCTTTCTGCTATTTGAATTTTGTTTGTTGAATATTCTCTTATGCTGTGTACTTTGTTTCCATCATCAAGCTGCAATCATTAAAGGCTTGAGTACATTTTTCTTGGTAGTATTTCTTCTCTATCCATCATTGATCTAGGTCAGTCAACGGTTTCTATCTTTGCTTTCACCAATTATTTAGTTTTATTTCAATTTGATTCCCAGCATGATAATTATACCTATAATTTACTGATGAGCCCCGATTACTGAATATTTTTTATTCCATTGACGAATTTATTGCCCTCAGTTTTCTTTTAATTTCATGCTCTTTCGAATTAATTTTGTTATAGCCCGATACGTTGCAAACCATATCAACATCAATGGCCTTTTCAGGTTCATTAACGTAAATGGTATTATTATTATTCTGTGTCCAATTTCTAATCTAAAACATGAATTTATGCGCATTGCTTTCTTACGCTGTATTCTAATCAGATTGAAGGTAGAGTGACATGATAGAAACACAAATTAAATTCTGAAATTAACATGATGGCAGGCAAATATTATTATTTCTATTCAAATGCTGTCAAATTATCCAGACAATTGAACTAATTGAATATTCATATATTATATCACAAGAGGTTTAGTTATAATCGTTAATCGATTAAAATTATTCAACATATTTTAAGCATGATTTTGCTTGGAAAAAAGTCCAATGCACAATAACTTGATATATAACTTGATTTATTTAAAATTTATTGTGCATTAAACTATTTGCCAACAAGCAAAATCATGGAAAAAACATTTGGATTCAATCCATAAAATTGCTTTCTATAATCTCTAAATCTAATTTCTCTTCCAGAGTTCTCATTTCTAATAATACGCTAATAAATAGCAGAGGAGAAATTCTTTGCAGATCTTTACGTGCCATGGAAAACTTGAGTATCAAAAACACCTTTCAAAATGTAAAGCTTAATAAAACCGTTAAAAATTTCAAATAAACCGTTTTTTATATTTTTTTTTCATAAACCCCCACTTGCACGTCACTGGTGTTGACCCTCTTCTTTACAAAAGAAAAGGAAGGTTAATTTTAAGAGAAAACAAAATTCCATAAAATGGCCATATTTCCATAATATTGCAATGTATCCAAAAAATGTCCTAGACATCCCGAGGTGTTGACCTATATTCTTTCCCAAAGAATGGAAATTTTTTGTCGCTTTACATCCACAATTCACACTCTGTATAACGAGAAGGAATTATTAGAAAAATATTCGACAACATTGACGCATAGACCAAGGTTGGCGGCGTTGGCGCTTCGTAACACTGGCTAAAAATCGAACATCGGCATCAAAGAAATGTCGAAGTTATAGAATTCAAAATTAGGCAATTTTTCGGGTGTCCCAGTTCATCTGCCGTTTTAGACCGGAAGCTCGTAATACAAAAAAGCTAGTCATTTGTAACAAGTATGGCGACCCCCTAGTGATCGAATTACATAATTAAGAAAACGAAAAAGGTGATAACTTTTTTGCCGATGGGGCCTAATCGCATGGCGATTAATCGAACTTGCCAGATAAATTGCGGGCTTCAAACGCTTTGTAACCCGAAAATTCTTGTATTTTCCGATAGTTTTTGAATAAGGAACTAGGGGAAAACGAAATGCCTTAATTATCCGGTGGTGCTTATAGCCCGCCATACCAGTTTTTGATATTTTTTAAGAATACTTGTGTGTATAATTAATTTTATTTGCGACTATATATGTAATCTTTACATTACTGACTTTTTAAAAATTTGGAAGTGTCACTTTACCTGTGTCACTTCCCTCTTCGATTTCCCTCACCGATTTCCCTTCCCTCACCTATTTTCCTAACTCTAATTTATTTACCTTTGCTGGCAACAATGAGAACATGTCAGGTTAAAGTTAAAACAGTGAATAACACATTATGGCATGTTTGTTTTATTTTTCCAATATTAAAAAAATTAAATGACTAATCATAATAATTAATGGAGTGCTGCAAATAAAATAGTATACAAACCTCGGAGGAAAGTTTTAATTTCTGTCTCAAGATTAATAGTCAATCTCGACGCTTGGCGTCTCGATTGACTATATAAATCTCTCAACAGTAATGAAACACGAAGTATTACACTATTTCGCACTTGATTATAAGTATGGCAAGTCCCAAGTAACATTTTTAGCTTTAAAGAATTGTTAAAACCTAGAATAAAAATATTTAATAAAGCTATATTGCCTTAGCAACCATTAAAGAACCCTTTTAAAGTTCTTTTAAGACTGCAAGGGCCCACCCCTAAGATTGCTTTAACAGCCTTTCATAAAACCTTAATAAAGCTTTGAGGTTTCCAAAGGCAAAGTTTTATACAGAGCTATACAGACAGCGTCCATAAAACTTATTCCAAGACTATGAAAAAACTATTAGGCCGCCTTGAAAAGCCAAATGGAAGAAATGAAATACAAATGGAATTTTTTAAATATTTTTAAAACTTTAGGGGCTTAACCAAACTTTATCAATTCTTCTACTTCGCCATAATTTCCCACAAACATAATTTAAACTTACATCTGTAATGGACGATCTATGATAACAATGAGTGGTATTACCCAAATATAATTCGCAGATAGACATGATTCTGCATTGAAATTTATATACAAACCCAAGTTTACAGATGAAAGTGTACTTCAAAGGTTCAAATAACTCGTGGGCCTTGAAAAACCCCTAATTTTGACGAAAATATAATAGCTATTTATATAACAAGTACATAAAGTAAGGCTTTATTGTACGAATAATTTTATGGCCGAGCGAGCTTGCGAGCGAGGCTATTAAATAATGAGTCAATAAAGCCTGTTTATGTAAGCGTTATATACATGATTTTATGTACGATTATGACTGGTTTTCGTTAAAAATTTAAAAAATTTAATAAAAAAAGTAAAATTTGCGTAGCTATACCTGTTTCACCTTGGCAGGTTGTCAAGACCTGTTTCACCTTGGCAGATTGTCAGGACCTGTTTCAACTTGTCAGGTAGTCCAGGTAGGCAATAAAGTAGCACTTTATTTTACTAGTACAATAAAGTGCTACTTTATTGGCGCAAAACTGTTCTATAAATAGCACTTTATTGGTCAATCGGACATAAAAATACTAACCTATTATGTGTCAATTTTTTTACATTGTTGCGCACAAAATTAACCCTTAAACTGATGAATACTAACTTTGAAATAATAAACCCTAATAGGCCTAGGTACAGTAAGAAACCCTTAAGGAATATTGAAAGTTAGCTTTATAGGGCGCCACTGGTTTACAAAATAAAATCCGCGGACTTAAACCAGAAAGTCCCTGATCTCCGAAATTCCTATAAAAATGTACCTACCCGATGTACCTATCCTCTAAAAACAACTTTACCTTAGTTTGGTCAGTAGTAGAGTCAAATATAAAAATATTGAGTATAAAACTATTTAATAAAATGGGGGAGGGGGTATGTTTAGAACTGCAAAGGCCAATAGAAGACAATGTAA